TTTTATTTTATAAATAGGTTTAATATTTTATTTGAAGTACATACATATTATGTACTTTAAATTTAAAACCTACGTATCTTTTATAAAATGCAATATGAAAAGTCTTAAAGTCTTGTCTTTCAAATTAGGTTCTCGAGCTGAGGTCAATATTTTGGAGTATTTGTGTTTGCCATTGGCGCCACGAAGCTGTTTCAGTAGGATAAGGGGAACTGCTGTATTCGTCAGCAAGTGCATCCTATTGAGCAAAGAACTGCGATCTGGATTGGAGTAGGTGTTTTACGACGAATTTTGGGCAGCCGGTGATCTGGCATTATTACTTTATTGATATATAAATATAATTAATTTTTATAGATTAACGAAAATTAAAACTGTTAATTAATAGAATGTCACACACTTATTAAGTTATATCAATATATCACGTTAAAAGCCCAATATATTTGCGAGGACATACTTATCTATATACATAAAAGAAAGTCGTGTTAGTTACACCACTCATAACTCAAGAACGGCTGAACCGATTTTAATTATCTTTGATTTGTTGGAATCGTCTCCGCTCCGAATAGCAGAATACATTATAAAATATTGGAAAAATCCACTAATTTTAGCAAAAATAATAAATTTGTAAATGCTGTTTCAAACTGTTGACAGTTAGACAGTTTGATTTCTTTTAAAATTTTTTTTTCAAATATTTCAAATATTTCAAATTTCAAATTTCAAATATAATAAATTCAAATATAATAAATAAATATTGTTACCAATATATGAAGTGAAAGTATCGATTTGTTTGTTTTACGCGAGTGTTAAATATTAATAATGCCGCCACCCAGAAAGTCTAATCTTTCTCAACAAAGCCGTAATGCAATTAGGCATCGAACCATTACGCATGCATCCACTGAAGAAGAACGAGAAATCGTACGAGAAAGGAGCCTCATTGGTATGAATTCGGCCAGATCAAATAGATGATATCATATGTGCCGAGATTCCTAATCGCGAAACCGATACTGGCCTATATGATGTTATAATTACAAACATGATTCATGGTCCGTGTGGCGCCATCAACCAAGAATCACCATACATGACCGATGGCAAGTGCTCCAAACGGTATCCACGAAAATTCACGGCGGAGACCCTCACTGGCAACGATGGTATCCACTGTATCGGCGACGATCACCCAGCGATAAAGGTCGAACTTTCAAAATGAAAGTGAAAGGAAAGGATTTCGTGGCTGATAACAGTTGGATTGTTCCATATTCGCCACTTCTATCTAAAACATTCAAGACACATTGCAATGTTGAGTATTGCAATTCCGTGAAGTCCATCAAATACATCTGTAAATATGTTACGAAAGGCAGCGATATGGCAGTTTTTGGCATCCAAACCTCAAATACCAACGATGAAATTACGCGGCATCAAGTTGGTAGATATGTGAACTGCAATGAAGCGATTTGGCGTATATTCGCATTCCCTATTCACGAACGTCATCCCACTGTTTTACATTTGGCTGTACATCTAGAAAATGGTCAACGAGTATATTTTACCCAGTCGAATGCTGCTCAACGAGCTGAAACACCTACAGAGACAACATTAACCAGTTTCTTTGTGATTTGCCAAAGCGATCCGTTTGCACGGACGTTGCTTTACTCGGGAATGCCACGTTATTATACTTGGAATGCTTCATTGAAGAAATTTCAACGTCGGAAGCAAGGCGATGTAGTTCCTGGTCATCCGGGTGTTCGCTCTACTAATGCTCTTGGTCGCATTTACACAGTTCATCCGAAGAATGATGAATGCTTCTATCTGCGGTTGTTACTGGTAAATGTTCGTGGGCCACCATCATTTAAATCACTACGAACTGTTAATGGTATAGAGTGGCCAACGTTTCGTGCTGGATGTCAAGAGCTTAATTTGCTTGAAAATGATACTCATTGGGACACGACAACCGCTGAAGCAATTGTTTCTGCATCTCCAAGTCAGATACGCGCATTATTTGCTATAATAATTTCGACATGCTTCCCATCGAATCCACGTGATCTGTGGAACAAATATAAGGATAACATGTCAGAAGACATTTTACATAGAATTCGTGTCAGTTCAAGAAATCCCGATCTTGAGGTGAATGATGAAATGCATAATCAGGCTTTGCTCTTGATCGAAGACATATGTTACCATACCTGCGGTAGTTTGTTGGTCAGATTAGGAATGCCAGCTCCTGATCGTGGAATAAATAACGCATTTAATTGAGAAATGGAACGTGAACGTGAATATGATCGACATGAATTAGACCAATCAGTTCAAACTAATGTACCTCTATTGAATCCGCAACAGAAGGAAGTTTAACATTAATGAAAGCGATTGATGAAGAAAATGGTGGCTTTTTTTCCTGAACGCCCCCGGTGGGACTGGTAAAACATTCCTCATGTCATTAATTTTGGCCCCTGTTCGCGCGATATTCCGACATTGCGGTAGCAGTTGCTTCTTCTGGAATAGCGGCTACATTGTTAGAAGGATGCCGTACGGCTCATTCAGCGTTAAAATTGCCGTTAAACTTTCAAACTACCGAGCAACCGATATGTAATATTGCGAAGCATTCTGCAATGGCTAAAGTTTTAGTAGCATCTAAAATCATCATCTGGGACGAATGCACAATGGCGCACAAACGCGCATTAGAAGCACTTGACAGAATATTGAAAGATCTCCGCAATGACTCGAGATGTTTTAGAGGCGCAATGATTTTACTGTCTGACGATTTTCGCCAAACACTCCCAGTCATTCCAAAATCGACTGCTGCCGACGAAATAAATGCTTGCCTTAAATCATCAAATCTTTGGCGCTATGTGAAGAAACTTCAGCTGGTAACAAACATGAGAGTTGCATTGGTCAACGATACATCTGCTGAAGAGTTCTCCAAGCAATTGCTGTTAATCGGAAATGGCCGTGTGAATCGAGCGGAATAATTGCATTTCCTTCAAATTTTTGCAATTTCGTCTCATCAAAAGACGAACTCATCAATGAAGTATTTCCGAACATCATTGATAATTATAAAAATAAAAAATGGTTGAGTGAGCGAGCAATTTTGGCAGCTAAGAACAAAGATGTGAATGACTTAAACTTTGTAATTCAAAATCAAATCGTTGGTACTCTGCATACATTCAAATCTATTGAGTGTGTAACAAACGAAGAAGAAGCTACCAACTATCCAACTGAATTTTTGAACTCCTTGGATGTGCCTGCCTAACCACCGCACAATTTACAATTAAAGATTGGTTCGGTAGTCATTATGCTTCGAAATCTAAACCAACCAAAACTATGCAATGGAACGCGTTTAGTGATAACAAAACTGATGGCCAATGTGATTCACGCAATGATACTCAAAGGAAAATTCAAAAGTGATGAAGTTCTCATTCCGAAGATTCCAATGATCTCAATCGTTATGCCCTTTGAGTTTAAACGAATTCAATTTCTTATTCGGCTTGCATTCGCTATGACTATAAATAAATCACAAGGCCAATCCTTTAGTTTTTCACATGGTCAATTGTACGTGGCATGTTCACGTGTAGGCAAACCATCTGCTTTATTTGTTCTTGCGCCTGATAAAAAAACAAAAAATATCGGACATCACAAGGTTCTTTATTGAAGAGAATCAATCGGAGTGCAACCCATAGGTTCTTGCTGACAGACCATTAAAATAATTAATTATATATCAATCTCCTAATAAACTATTGAATACAATAAAGTTTTTGTATTCATTTTATTACGTTAATAAATTTCTAAATTTAGTTTACCTATAATTTAATATAACATTTATTGACTGTTACGCGGTACGAAGTTCGCGGGGTCACCTAGTATTCTTTATAAAAAACGAATGTTATAATATATTCAAGTTGTTCATAATTTTTGAAATTTTTGGTGCATAAATTCATAAATTATAACAAATACATATTAGTAGACTATTTAATAAATAGACTAGTGGCAAAAATAGTTGTGTCATCGGCTCTCTCAGACGACCACTTTCAGGAGCTTCGCATATATTTGGACAGACTTCTAATGCCACAATCTCGATAATACTACAGTAATTGCTGTAATGTTCTGAAATCTCTGGTCCTCTGGCCGATGCAATGGTTTCTTCGGTCCAACGTTGAGTGTTTAAGTGCAAAATATCTACAATTAAGAAAAAAAAAACAATTTGAATTTAAACACAAAAACTTAATCTATTGTTTTTATATGATTTATATTAACTAATTAATTAATTACTATATAGTACTATATATTATATTTTCAATTAAAGTATAAAGTCCTCTCCATCATTAACTGAATTTATTTGCGAAGTAAACAACCCTTTCACTCTACTTACGCATACTGTTTATGCTTAGCTCAGCTCAGAAACATACAATGAGAGATCTAGTGGTGATATATTATATAAAAAATTTTAACAAATAAACTTATGACTTTATTTTACAATGTAAAATAGCTAACGATGTAAATATCTAGTTTTACTTAGTTAAGTTTACTCCGATATTCAACTGGAAATGTTGTTATTATGGAAGTAAGTTAAGTCAAGGTTTCTTTCTTTCTATTCTATAAATAATAAATAAATAATGTGTAATAAGTACGGGTAATACTGACAATGGAAATGCAAGGTAGTAATGTACTTAATTAGAATACATGCAGGGTTATTAATAAGTGAGACCATTTCAGTTCCGTGCTGTTTATAAACATAAATAAACTATTTAAATAATATATGCTGATTAGGTTATTAATATATCGTATATTTAAAATATTTCTTGACAGATCTATAAGGTTAGACCTTACAGAATATCAATTCCTTACGTTGAGAGGAATTGAAAACAAAATCATTGTTTTATTGGCTTTTATTTGAAATTTCTAAAACACTAAAATCTTAATTAATAAAAACTATCACTAATATTAATATAAATACATTCAGTTTTCAAACTTAAAATATTAACTAAAATTAGTAGTAAGAATTATAAATTTATTTGTTTCAAATAGTTAAGTTAAACGTAGCATATTTGGTATTCAAAAATTGCAAGAGAAAATATATACTCCCAGGGAACAAAACAAATTATTCAGAATAGCAAACTTGGGAACAGGGAACAAACTCCCATTCCCATGCGATTCAGAATAGGCCTGACAATTTTTACAGTATTCAGATATAACAACAGTCAATGGTTTTGCTTATACCATAACTTGATGTTTAAAAATTTGTGTATAATTAATGTGAGGTTTTGGAATAAGCAAGTATAAATCATGCATTTTAGATTCAACAAACAAAACATAATATTGTCACTCATTTTCATGGTTCTTAATTTTAAACTAAATTTATATTAAAATAAAACAATATAACAACGCAATAACTATGCAAGATATAAGGCGAGATAAATGTAAATTAAAAAATATAACAATTTGTGCTGAAAAATATATATTAGTTACGGAAAACTATTCCTTGCTATTAATGATAGAGTCCATTAGTGCACCGTAGAGCTCGGAACGAAGTGAAATTTTATCGAACTTTGATAATTGATATTTAGAGTAAACAGCTTTTAACTTAGCGTTCGGAGCATTTCTTGCTATAGCAGCGATCTTCATAGTTATTGGACGTAAATCAGTTGCACTATAGCGTGAGTAATGACGTAAAGTTGGAGTCCAATGTGCGTCATTAAAACCAGTTGCTGCATTTGCATTTCCGTTGAGCAAATGTAGTGTTAAAAATACCGAGGCTGCAGCAACCTAGAAAAGAAATATATAAATTTGGTTTAGACTATTAAAAAATATTTAACATACCTTAGATGGCTTATACGCTGCCATATTATAATCAACTAAAATTAGTTCTAGAAAGTACTTAGACATTGTATGATGTCTATCTGTAGCTTTAGCTGCTTTTGAAAGCCGACGCAAGAAATGTATTGGCAATGGTCGCGATAAATTGCAATTGATTGTTTTGAAAATTTTTCTCTCCATTTGTAGAATCTGTTTAGCTGTGTACGTATTATCGGTGATGTATATAAAATCTACTAAAGAAGATGGAAAGATTTCCTCATACTTGGTAGCAAGGAACAAAGCTGTTACTCCTACTAGTTGTAACTCTGAACGTTTTGTATCATTAACTTCTTGTAAATATCGATCAATAATAGTTACTGCCATTTGAAATGTCTCAGGTACGAGGTGGAATTGCAAATGTACTTCGTTTATCCAATCTACGAGTACAGCACGCATATTTGGAGTAACGTCCTGTTGATTTCCAAGATGATTTTCAGTTATAGCGAAACTATCTTCCAAACTGTACAGATAATCATAAATTTCGTTAACATAATTTGATATTAGTATTAATATATTTGCATCCGTCGCATCAATGTCTTCGATGACACTTATTATTTTGGTAGAATGTAAGAAAGGTTTAAATAATTCGTAGTATCGCGAAGTAATGTTGCTGGTTATTGGGCCTTGTCTGGCTGTGGTACCAACAGAAACAGTTTCTATAAGTTTATGTGTTTGTTGGGCGTGAACTATAGCTGTTGGTTTACATTTTTCTTTGTTAGCATCACACAAAATGGCTGCTTTTATTTTATTCAGTGATATTTGCGATAACTGACTATCTTCTCCACGTAATCTAGGCACAATGGAAACTGTTTGGGTTTTTTCAACATCCGTTGTTTTTATTTTGGCAACTAAAATTAAATGTATAAGAATACTTCAGGATTAAAAAAGTAGGTATCAATACCTTCCAACTTTTGTGGTTTATTTTCTACCGCTTTTGTGGACAACGTCTTGACTTTTTGCTCTACTGCCTGTAGAGCATTGATACCCAAACGTACAGAATTTGAATGGGTTACAACTTTTCGTTGGTCTATAACATTATTTTCTAACTCAGCTGCGTTGTTTGTAGAACTGGCTGTAGTTTTCTTCCAACGACTATCAACGCGTGCTTTGGTGCCGCGTAGGGCAGCCTGCAGCTTTGCATTTGCAGTACTGCTTGAATTAAATTAAAATAATTAAAATATTTATACTCTATATAAAATAAATGTAATTATTTGAAATATAACGCACCTTTTTTGTACAGCATCCTTCCCAGAATTGGGCCGCAATACTGCACGATTCTGCAGATCACCTAAAGCAGCGCGCTTTATTCTTTCAGCGGCTGGTTGAACCTTTTTGCTTCTGTTGTACTTTTCTGCATCATTCTGTAAAACAATATATAAATTCTACTTTAGTCATTTCTTTTATTTTTTATATTCGTTTTTATACAATAACAAAATGAATATTAGAAAAATTGTGCCGCAAGTACCAAAACAAAATTATGCGCATATAAACGGGATTTATTGGTGCAAACATAATGGCGTCGCTATCACTTTGGCTATTAAACAAAATTGAGCTTACCTCGTCGACTCTAATTTTTGATACTCCCACAAGTGCATCCATTTTATTGTTTTTTAATCGATTTAATATGAATTTTTTTAACAAAATTACTTTATTTTCGACACAATGCCGGATCTTACGACTTCAATAAAAAAAAAAAGTTCAAAAATATGAACTATTTGGCACCAAAGTTTTTAATTTACTTTTTTTCTATCGACTTCGACTTTGCCTTTTCAAATCTTTTTGGAAGCAAAAAGTTCAAAATGTTCGTCGCGCTTATATTCTTCGTTAAATTTCATATGTTCACTTGACATATTTCGCTCAGTCATTAAATGACACTTGATAATGGAACTGCCATATTCAAATTTGATTTTAATAATAATAAATAATTTATATATATACCTTGCTTACACAAGTGATTTACTTGAGTAACTGTTAAATAAAAGTTACTCAAGTCTGAGTAACATACTCTTATAGTATGTTAACATTACAGACCAGTTAATTTAATGAGAGTCACTAATGATTTTTAATTAACCATGCTTTTGTGCTTTAGAAGATTATATCATTAAAGATTACGATTATATCATTGAAAATTACACTGAAAATGTCGAATGTAACCCTTAAAAATGATCAAAATTTGAAATATTTGTCATGTTTTATATGTAAAATGTAAATATTTAATAAAATGTTCGTTTTTTTTAAATGAACATGTAATAGATATATATTAAATATAAATAAATGATTTAATTTATCAATTATATATATAATTTTTTTTGTTTTTATTTATTTCAAGAGGATAGCAATGAGAATTCAAAAAGTCAATGACAAATTGAAATACGTATTAGTATTTAATAAAATTTTTTGTTTTCATAAATTAAATTCTCAATAGATATATAGAGAAAAGATATGTTTTTCATTGTTTTTTAATAACTATTAATTTTTTTTGATGAATGTATATCATCGTTTTCGGTATACACTTATTGGTTTATTCATGTTGTGAACAATTTCATAAACGTTATACTTATATTAAATTGTTTGCATATTTTACGCTTTGTATGCTGAATTAATTAATTTTTGCTAACGATACAAAACTAAATATCATCTGCTTATAATTGAAATGTAAATAAAGGAACGCTCTCTTAGAACTTTTACAGAAATTTCTGACACATAGAAATTCTTCCACATGCAATAATCAACTTATACCAATGAAAACGATCAAGTCTTAATTTGATTAACGAAATACCTTCCAATACCTTTTGTTAGTTTAGCTGCAGTGGAAACATGATATTATTTTTAGAACTTAATGCTCTGAATTAAGAAATGAAAGAATATTCAAAGCAGAGTTGAGTATTTTTTATACCAAGATAGTAATTATTTTGTTGTTTATCAATAAATCGGTTTATCCAAATTATTGTGGTCATATATATTTCACACATTATGATTAGCTAAGGTAATTAAATCATATTTAATAACTACGAATAATTAAGGTAATATATAGATAACAGTTTCATCACTAAATAACATAATATTGTAAAAAGAATATAATGATAAGAATATAATGACTAGAATTAAGAAATTTATACATAATTAAACAAATTTCGCTATATATATGTAATTATGCTCTCATCCAGAGCATTACATGTCTAGTTTAATTTTTGGCATGGATAGTGTAACAACCGCTAGGTTTCAAACGGATTTTAATATTTTTATTTTAATCATCTTTGCTTGTCTAATAGCATATTACTATTGTCACCATTAAAGCGGTTTACTTAATTTAGATTGCTAATGAAGTTGATTAAACGTAGGAAGAACTTTCGTGCTTTCCAACTTATACCATGTTTCCACTAAGGTCATTTAGGCAGTATTACTCATTAGCTAATTACATTAAGAACTAGTTTTACAATCCGGTTCTGAATTCCATCAGTTTTGAAACAGAACCCACATTCATTTTGTGTAGTTGAATCGAATCGTGAAGAAAATTACTGCTTTCGCACTTACATCCGCAAATGCAGTTGAAAATTAATGAATTACAAGACGAATCATCGAAGGTTGGCTTTTAGATAAACATCAGTAAAACTGAAGTAATGCGTATAAAAACCAAAAACTCAACTCACATTACAATCAATGCGTATCACATCGTAGAAACCGAGAGCTTTACTTACTTAGGGAGTATTCTATTGGTGGATGGGGGTGCGAAAAAGGACATCAATAGCCGCATTCAAAAAGTGCGAGTATCATTTGCTAGGTTGTGAGTCCATAATATACGTATCAACACTTTACGCATGCGTCAAATCGGTGTACCTATATGGATCGAAAACCTGGCTTGTTAACTCCGAAATCGAAGGAAGATTGCAATCATTTATCAATCGATGATTGCGCAAGATATTAGGCATGTGGTGGCCTAGAATGTTTTAAATGAAGACTTATAGAGAATAACACACCAATCGAACGTAAACTGCGAGATAAGAAGAAATAAGTATGGTTTGATTGGACACATACTGCGTAAGCTTTATGAAGTTATCGCGCTGCACTTACCTGGAACCCCTAGGAGACTAGGCGTAGAGGCAGACCAGCAATGAATGACCTGAAGAAGGTTGAGAACGAGTTGAGAGCAATAGCACAAAATAGAAACCAGTAGAAAATTTTGTAGACTCCTTAGGTTCCTAATGGAGTATAGAAATAATAAAAGTAATAAAAATAAAACAATGTATAAACGTTGTTGTTTATACTGCTTAGTGATTAGTTTTATTTTTATTAATATAAACACAGATAGACACAGTTAGTGCTATACTATATATTAGATGGAGCTCATTACTTAAGCTAAAAATTGCTCATCTACGAACTTTTACATTTATCAAATTTTAACTTATATGATAGCTACACCTAAATTTGAACTGATCAATAGGATTTGTTGGAAATATGTATGTCCAATTTCCAAAAATATGTATGTATGTAATTCAATTTAGTAATTGATTCATCAGATTCACTGATATACACTAGGACTTCCAAATTTCATCAGTTCGAGTAGAAAAAAAAGGCTCCAAATATACAATAACATAAACGGAATGGTCATTGGCAAGCTACATTAATGACAGAGCTTCAGCCCTTGTAAAACTCAGATACTTGCTTAGGAGGTCAAAGAGGACGAGTGGTTTGATGTAATAAATGTAAAATTGACACGACAATATTTAACGTAAAGCATTGTTTCCATATGTAATATAATATAGTTCTAGATAAGATTAAAATTGCAATAAAAAATTATTAAAAAAAACGATATCTTAATTAAAATTGGTATTAAAGATACTACCTGGAGGCCATTTTAAGTCAATTAATCTTACTGCCTTTAACTAAATATTTGATGATGCGATACATATCAAGAAAAGTTTGAACAACTGATACTGAAGATACATAAGTGTTTGAAGTACTTCGATGCTATAAAGCAGATGTCACAACTAAGAATAATAAAATTATCATTTAATTATTATAATTTTTATTTAAAAATATCAGTCCATAGTGCAAATAAGATTCCAGAGATAAAAACTGAATGTAATCACACGTCAAAACTTCACTCTCAGTATATTGTCAATGAAAAAAACCTCGTATTACATATGCAACATCATTGTTTTCTGTTAAAATTTAGACTCACTCCGCACCATTAATTCAATCTCAAAAATTGAAAGAATAAAGTTTACGGACATTTATTCTAAGTGTTGTTCCGAAGTACTGAAGATTTATGTTATAACATCGACGTTCGCTAGAAACATTTGTTTCCTTATCAAATCACAAAAATGTTTAAAATAGCGCTAGAGTGGCTAATTATGCGAAAATAAATTTTAAGTGTTCATTTCAGTATCTACAAGTAGAACGCGGATAAATATAAGAACGGATATCCTCTGATGAATACAATGATCAGTGTCAAGATTTTACATATCAGTGCACAGAATCCACAAAAAAGTGGCAGAAATTTGCTTCGAAATTAAATTATGGATTTCCACTTGCGGCAAACGGAGAAGAGAAACGCACTAGTATCTGTGCGGTTCGCTACTTCTAGTCTCATTTCTAATTAAGAATTCACAAGTTTTTTCGAAAATGTCTTTCGAGGTCAGAGTTTCTGCGTACTTGGTCTTTTCATAGTTGAACTGCTGAAGTGTTTGGAGCGACATAAAAAACAAAACTAAATGATGACCTATTGTTGGAAGTGAAAATTATTAACAGCCGAAAGTTCAGTTTTTTGAAAAAATTTGCATATTTGTTAATTGTTGCCTTCAAATCGGATTAATTGGTTGGACTGTGTTATATTCCATTTATAAGTAGAAGATATTACTAGATTAGTATAAAATTGGTTTCCAATTTTCTAAATCAGCATTTTAAAAATATTAATAGTTTGAACCTTTAATAGCTGATATTTTAATCTAGCCAATATCAGAGGCGAAGAGAGAGAGAGAGAGAATGACGGACAGAAAAGGTGTTGAGAGAAGTAACATTTTAAAGTACAGTCAAACTTATATAAACCGAATCATCATTCGACTTATGGAGAATTCGAGTTAAGGAATTATATGTTATTTGCTCTCTAAACCCTGTTGTACTCTATTTAGTTCGAGTTCTAGAAAATTCGAGGTATAGAAGTTTGACTGTATTTTTTTGGTGAGCAAAAAAAATAAGTTCCAATAAAAAAATCAACAAGCTTCTGTCCAATATCTATTGCTATATACATGTCCATATCTTCTATCAATAGAGCCCACTTGTTATTATGAAATATCATTTTGAGGTCATTTAAGGAGTGGGGATGTGTATATACTTCATATGTCTCCCATTAAATAATAATAGAGAAACGAGGGCGGTTTGATAAGTCAATGTCTTTTTGAATTTCCCGCGCAGTTACTCCAAATGCAACAGTTCTGCCGTCAGCTGTAATCTACCAGTAGGCAACTTTCTAATTTTGAGCAAATTATGTCTTCAGTTGGTGTTTGATAGCCGTACAAAGCAGACAACCTCGTGAATTTTTACGAAAATGGAAAAAAGTGAATTTCGTGTACTGATTAAGCATTCGTGGCCAAAATCCACGAATTGGGGTACGAACTGCTACCCCATCCAGCATATTCTCCAGATTTAGCCCCCTGCGACTATAAAGATCAAAGATCATTGCACTGACAAAAATCACTGTGTAGCATGGCATTTGGCTTGGACGTGTGATTCGTCCGTATTTGCTTTAAATAGATACGACACAATGGAAGATATATGGTTTCATCACTTATATGGTCTTGTTTTTTTCTTTCGTGCAAAATATTCCAAATTTGTAATTTCACGTTTTGGTGATGTGAATTGGTCACCAAAATCATGTGA